ATACAAGTTTCACTTTTTAAATGGAATTACTGAAATCAATCTACTTTTTCATGATATTCTAATTTTATGACCAGCACCTGTATAGAAAGTAGATCACATCAGCCTGGTTCTGAAGTCCGTCCTCTGGCTCCCTGTAGCTCAGAGAATAGACTTTGAAATTCTTCTGTTAGTCTAGAAATCAGTGAAAAGATCAGCAGCACAATCCATAACAGATCTGTTGTCAGTGGATCAACCTCCCAGTATCAGGAATCCAGTTTGTGTGGTCTGTTTTTGTGTTTCCTTTCCTCCTCCACCAGGTGGTGCCCCGTCCTCATTGGGCCTCCCTGCACACCTGCAGCTCATTGCCTCATTACCGGAGGACTCTTAAGCTGCTGACTGCCACTACCTCGACGCCAGAGTGTTTGCCAGTTTTGGGTGCTCTAGCCAAGCTGAGTTTGCTGAGTCAAACTGAGTTTTTTTTTTACCTGAGTTTTGATCTTGCTGTTTTTGTCTTTGTCTCTCGACAGGAAGTCATCCTGCAAACTGGATGTTTCAGACCTTCTGTCCCCTGGAAGGATCTTCTGAGAACCAAACTAAGCTGAGGATTCAAGTTTGTGGTTGGGATAAACCTTCTCCTCCCAAGGATTGTCTGGGGCTTCTCTCTGAGCAGGGGATTCATCTCCACAATAACCCGTTCAAGTACCGCAGGAAATCTAAGTGGCAGTCAGCTTCTCCGTTACCAAGGAACAACCGCAGTCTCGGTAAACCCTGTCCGCCCTCCATCAAACAAGACAATCACTGAAACACACACAGACTGGATTCAATAAAAGAAACCTTTTTCTGGAAACGTGAGTCTGCAACCTATTCCTCCTCTTCAAGTCAAAGAATCTGATTTCCCACAGAGCCTGAACTAACCGCAGTGTATTCCCCTCACTTTACAGTTCCGGTTTGACAGTGTTCAGAGCAGCACTGGACTCATCTCATTATACTAAATAAATCTGTTAAAAGTTTTCCTGGTCTCTCTGTTTTGGTCTTCTGCATTTGGGTAAGATCTTTAATTAAATCATGACACCCAGACCATTGAGGTCTTCTAGTTCCAGCCTACTCTGTCCACCCAAAACTAGAACCCAACATGGAGAAGCAGCATCTATGTTCCATGGATCTGGAACAAACTCCCAGCAGACAGTTAAACTGTTAACTAGGGATGCACCATATTGGGATTTTGGCCGATATCCGATATGCCGATATTTTAAAACTCATGTAGCCGATAACCGATATGGATACCGATGTTAAAGCTGGACAAAAATAAGTAGTCATTGAAAATAGCAGTTTTGTTATCCATTTCTGACACTGGATAAATAAT